CGTTCAGACTATCGATGTCATTCCTAGAATTTTTTGTAAAACAACTATATTTCTATATTGGTTTGTTTCGTTTTATTCCAGTGCGAAATATCGTATTTCAGACTCACATCTTGTAAAAGTATAGACTTGTCTCAAAACGGAAATTGTTTGAAATCATCAGGTGTTTAATTTGTTTAGTGTGTTTTTAGTTTTTGTTTCGATTCATACGTTCGCCCTATTATTGCCATGCTGACTCGTTTTACGACAGTTTACCTTTGATATTATAAAGGAATAAAGGAATATCACACCTGAATTAAATAAAACGTTCTGCACGCAGTAGTCACTCTAATGTAATTTGCTCAGCAAAATTTTGAATTTTAAATTTTGAATTTTTTTCCTTGATCCGATCCGCGATCCGGTCCGGTGCAGTCCGATACTGGTTTTGTCGACTTCTTTTGCCATAGTTGCTTTTGCGAAGGATTGGAATGAAGTATATTCTTCTCCCGTGTGATTGCCAAAATGTTGACTACCGTTGCGCAGATAAAAAATATAAACGGTACCGCTAAAATCTGTGATTTTTTACATGATCTTAACGTTAACAGATCACAAATAACACTTGATGAAGGGGAACTCTGCTTCAAACTAGAAAACAGATGCCTGGTTAAAAATCAAAATTTGCTTGCTGTTGTGGCAATTGACACAGTTAAACATCATCAGTAGCACAATATAAAGTTGAATCTTTTTCACGAGTGATTATAACTGGTTTATTTCTACACTTCTGGTTTTTAACACTTACGGTAAGCTAACGATAAAATTTTGAACTGACTTGGTTCTCTATCACGGCGGGCGCCTTTCACCTACACTAACTTCTTCGTTTCTGAATAGTTAATAGAGTGGTTTTTGTAATTTTCCGAGTGACTTCTGTTAGTATTAGATGAGACTCCACAAGAGTGATTTGTTGGAAATTCTGGACTGATGTTCCTGCTGTTCCCGATAGCATTTATCCTTATCTTCATCGATCGAAGAGAGCACATTGAAAACAACGCATCTTAAGAGCAAATGTCCACAAGAATGAAAAATAGTTCGGTAAGGCTTGAAAAATAGAATTTGCCCTACTGTTGCATATAAGTAGTCCTTAGTAAAAGTAAAAACGCTATGTAGTTTTTTTCTTCAAATATCTTGGTATTTCCGAGAAAAAGGGTACTATCGGTTTCACTTCGAGACATCAATCTGACGAGTTCTATCTGGGCTGAAAATCGACCATTTTCATTCGACTCGTATTTCGCAGCTATTGAGCACAGAAAAGTTGTAATACAACCAACTTAATGCAGAACTATTCCTTGTCCAAACAAGCCCAGTTTCAAGAATATTGGATTTATCTAACTATTTAGCGGTAAACAAAACCAAAGTGGTCTCCAACGATAAGCTCGTCAGTCGGTGAAAAGAATTGTCATTTTGATCATGTGCCATGTCTCGGAATTCCAGAACATTTTAGATTCTAACTATACTAGGATAGGTCTTTCAATAGATGTAAAGTTTAGTTTGGGCAAATGATTAAAAACATTATTCAAATCATACACAAAAAAATTAAAATCACGCGAGAAGTCGAATGCGTGACCAAAAGTACAACCGGCGCATTGTTTTTGTCATTAAATCATTTCAATTCGAAATATCACAGGAATATCAGCGCAACGCAAGCATAAACCAACGTTTATATGTTTAACTTAGCTGGGTTATCATGTCTTGACTGTCAAGCAAAGTTCCTATCCTGCCATTTCAAAGGTGTTCCATTATAATTAGGTTTGCATAACCTGTACGCATTCGTCTGGCGATTTTGAATTCCCCAAATCGCTCAATATTACCAAGTTCCTATGCAAATGTTCCTACGTTTTCCGTTTTGTTGTTCGGTACAATCATTCAACCTGCTATCAGGCAGAAATCCCCAGTAATTAGCAGTAACAAATAGGCCGCCATCTACGATGGTTCCGCGTCTCTTATTTGCATATTGTCCAGCAAAAGTCTATGCACACAGGGTAAGGGTAGAGTGGGAATTACTTCCGAAAGAAAAAGCGTTGGAATTTTGCCAATATCTCGACGTTAGTTCCAATTCAGGGCCTTCTTTCTTAGGTAAAGCGATAAAATGCTACACACGAACCAGGTCTTTGTGGCTTAAAATTCAAACAAAGAAAAGTAACTCTGTTAAAAGCTCTGAAATCTCGACCCTCACCCCTATGTAAAATATGTTGTAACGCACGGGTCTCGGATAACACATCTTCAGTCAAAATGGAGGACTTTCAAACGCCTTCAAAATGGAAACCCGAAAGTCGCACGTGGAATAACGCTTTAGCACTTACTACTGGCTTAATCAAACGACACGAATAACACAGATAGATGATACATACATGGGACTTGGCAGTGACCGTTTTTCTTCAAAGTCGGATGTGAGTACTGACAAGAACTCCGCTGAAAATTATATGCAGGGAAAGAATCAGTTTGCAAGATTCAGGATATTACAAACGGAGTTAGGTGAACATGCTATTATTACGTGTATGTCATTTATACTGCTTGGTAAAGCTGAAGTTGCCGATACGATGATAACACTTTTGGTCACGCACTCGGAAGTTGCTGGCGTGATTTTGTGTCTTTTGTACTTTTGTGAAAGATTTTGAATAATTTTTTGACGAGTGCCTAATCATTTGCCCAAACTGAACTTTACATATATTGAAAGACCTATCTTAGTATAGTTAGAATCTAAAATCTTTTGGAATTCCGAGACATGTCACATGGTCAAAATAACAACTCTTTTCACCGGCTGACTAACTCAATTTTGGAGAACACTCTGGTTTTGTTTACCGCCAAATAATTAGATTAATCCAATATTCTTGAAATCGTCCTTTTTTTGACAAGGAATAGTTCTGCAATAAGCTGATTGTATAACAACTTTTCTGTGCTCAATAGTTGCGAAATGTGAATCGAATGAAACTGGTCGATTTTCAGCCCAGTTGGGACTCGTTAAATTGTATGAAATTGAGTCTGAAAGTTAAATCGTAAATGTCACTTTTCTCGGAAAGACAAAACTATTTAAAGGGAAAAACTACAGCCTATTTGCACTCTTGCCAGGGGCTAGCTATATGCCAAAGACGAGTGAATTTGAGTTTTCTAGCCCTGCCGAAGAAATTTGATTTTGTTTGATATTTGTGGGCATTTGCTCTTAAGAGCAGCTTCGCCTAAACATCAAACATAGGCACGCAAGGCGTGCAAGAGTTATTTTTTTGGTGAATTAAAAGCCCCCGGAGGTAGCAGCACTTACTCTTGACAGTTATGATAAGGTTAATCTAACAAGTTTGTTTGGTTACGATGTACAGCACAGAAAGAAAAAAATTAGAATTTATTTCACTCTTGGTTTAGCTTACAAAGCGTTCTTTAGTTCGTATTGTGCAATCGTCGATCGTCCGGGTGAGGGTAGTTCTGAAAAGAACTGTTGTTGGTGACTAACGTTTCGACAACTTCAGCAGAAGTCATCTTCAGAGTCAAGTGAATAGTGTTTGTCAGTCGATGGTGTTATAAATCTGCTCCGTTGAAAGTTGTAATGTATGCGTTTCGGTTCCCGCCTTCAATAATTATGTGCGCCTCGTTTTGGTGTGTGCTTTTACAGCACCACCATTGGTTGAATGATTAGTTCTTGAGTCACGCTACAGAATAGATAAAGGAGGCCATACTAAATTGAAAGAATACTTTACATGGTGTCAGAATCGAGATAAACCCTCAAGCATAGATTTAGCCGGAGTACAGAGTCCTCAGGTGGACTGGGAATCCGAAAACTTACCAGAACGCTGGACGCGTTTCCGACAACACGTGGAACTCATGTTCAG